AAATGCAGATATGGATATATCATATATGTAGAACGCTAACAACTTACCCCCAAAGCACCTAAATTTCACATAATTTTATACATTTATAATCTCAATAAAATGGATAATATTCTCAAAATATGTAAATATATTAAATCAGCTCTGTATTAAGAGGAACATGTGTAGAAATGTGATTTTCTCTGCCTCCCCTCCCCCCAATATTAGTAACAATGTATTTCTTGTTTCATAGTGAGTCACGCTGCCAATGGCACTGCTATCATTTGACCCTAAAAGATTCCTCACCATGCCATGGGATCAAGCAGACCCACATTTTTAAAATAAACACTTTATTTTTCTTGTTAGGTGATTGACTAGTGTTGGCCTAACAAAAGATAAAAAGTTTAAACAGACTGATTTTCAGAGAAAAAACTGAGAAAGCTGCCACGTAGGATCAACTTCTGTAAAACACCAAGTCACAATAGTTCTATATAAGAAGTCCACCAAACCTTTATAAAACAGATTATTCCAATTCTGTTAAATTGTCCCAGGGCTTATAAAAAGGAAAAATTTTTAATTATCTCTACAAAGTGAATATAACAATATCATTAATATCAAAACCTAACAAAGATAAAGAAAAAAGCTATAGATCAATCTTAGAAACATCATTGCAACATTCTGAAGTATTGAAAGGAATTTAGCAGCTTGATAAAAGAATATCATAATTAGGATAATCAATATGAGGAAACTAACATATATCATTTATCATCATAATAGAAAAATTATAGGATCATCTTTATAGGAGTTAAAAAGGCATTTGAAGCCAGGTGCAGTGTCTCACATCTACAATCCCCGTAGTGTGAGAAGCCAAGGTGGGAGGATCACTGGAGCCCAGGAGTTTAAGACCAGCCTAGGTAACATAGTGAGACTCCATCTCTATAAAAAATAAAAATTAAAAAAATTAGCTGGGTGTGGTGGTGCCCGCCAGTAGTTCTAGCAACTCTGAAGGTTGAAACAGGAGGATTGCTTGAGCCCAGGAGTTCAAGGTTGCAGTGAGGTGTGATTGCACCACTGTGCTCCAGCCTGGGTGACACAGCAAAACCTTATCTCCAGAGCGATGACAATAAAAGACTCCACAGATACTTCTTCAACATGTCTTTTTTTTTAAGGAAAACATGCAGATGCATACGTATTTACGGATTTCAGCCCTAAATCCAACATGCTATTTAGTAGAGCAGTGTCACTGAAATCATAAATAATGCAAGAATTTCCAGTAACACCACAATAATTTATTATACTAGTAGAGGCATTAGGCAAAAGAAAGAAATTAACTTTTTAAAAAATCTATAAAGGAGAATATAAGATTTGTAGATGATATGATTGTACACCTGAAAGACCCATGAGAATCAACTGAAAATTGCTGTATACTATTTAATATAAGAGGAATTCAGAATTATAACAAGTTACAAAATTCACATACAGTGATTAATGGCTTTCATATATTGTATTAAAACTTTAGACAAAATTAAATTTAACAGAGCTTATTTGAGCAACAAGCAATTCATGAATCAGGCAGCACTCAGAACCAGAAAAGCTCCACCCTGAAGCATCAACAGTGAGCTTTTATAGGTGGAATGTGGAAGGAAAGAGGAGAAATCATCTGATTGGCTACAGCTAGGTGTTTGCCTTATTTGACCAGGGGATGAGGAGGCATTTACTTTATTTGGGCATGGTCTGATCAGTTGGCTGCCTTTGACTGGCTGAAGCTCAGCCGTTAGTATTGGATGAATGAAACCCAGTTATCTGTTGCAAAAAATACACAATTACTACAGTGTTACTAAGTAACAGTTAATTACTAAATGTTAATACATCATTTAATTACTAGGATACATTCTCAGAAATGTGTTGTTAGATGATTTTGTCCTTGCATGAACATTATAATGTACTTACAAAAACCTAGATGGTATAGCCTACTACTCACTTAAGCTATATGGTATAGCCTATTGCTCCTAGGGTACAAACCTGTATAGCATGTTACTGTACCGAATACTGTAGGCAATTGTAACACAATGGTAAGTATTCATGTATCTAAGTATGGTTAACTATGGAAAAGGTACAGTAAAAATATGGTATAAAAGATAAAAAATGGTATACTTGCCAAAGCACTTCCATAAATGGAGTTTGAGGGACTAGAAGTTGCTTTGGGTGAGTCAGTGGGTGGTGAGTGAATGCGAAGGCCCAGGGCATTACTGTACACTACCGTAGACTTTATAAACGATGGACACTTCGGCTACACCAAAGTTTTATAAGAACATTCTTGCTTCAATAATAAATTAGCCTTAGCTTACTGTAACTTTCCTACTTTATAAACTTTTAATCTTTTGACTTTTGTAATCATATTTAGCTTAAAACAGTGTACAACTGTACAAAAATATTTTTCCTTTATATCTTTATTCTATAAGTTTTCTATTAATTTAATTTTATTTTATTTTTTTACTTTTTAAACTTTTTTGTTAAAAATTCATGCAAACACACATGTTAGCCTAGGCCTAATCCTGACAGGGTCAGGATCATGAATATCACTGTCTTCCACCTCCACATCTTGTCCCACTGGAAGGTCTTCAGGGGTGATAACATGCATGGAGCTGTTGTCTACCATAACAATACCTTCTGAAATACCTCCTGAAGGACCTGCCTGAGGATGTTTTACAGTTTACTTTTTTTAACTAAAAGGAACAAACTCTAAAATAACAAAAAGTAAATACATAAACTGACAACAGAGCTGTTTACTACCTTATCAAGTATTATGTACTGTATATTATTGTGTGTGCTAGACATTTATACCACTGGTAGCACACAAATATGTAATATGTTGAGCTATGACATTTCAACAGCTGCAACTCCAATAGGTGATAGAAATTTTCAGCTGTTATGATCTTACGGAACCACTGTCATATATGTGGTATTATGTGGTACATGACTGTATTTGTAAATTAGGTTTTGGTTTATGTACTAGGTTAACATTGTGGTTTGTGTGCAGGAACTCAAAAGTATAGACAGACTTAGGCCAACGGGCTCCTGCTTATTAAACTGAACAATACAAACAACCACTTATCTTATACAGCAGAAGGGAAGGCCTCACCTACAGTAATAGCAAAAGGATAATAATGTCTGGGGATAAACTTAAATGCAAATGCTTTATGAGAACAAGGATAAAATCATGCCTGAGCAGAAGCTGCTAAAAATATCCTTGTCTGGAACCCACGGGGCTGCACCAGGTCCTGTGCCATTTGGAGATGCTATCATTGTCATCCTCTACCTACTGGAGAGATGACCCCTCCACCAAGGACGGAAGTCCTGGAGTTAGGAATAATCTCTCCTCCACTCCCACTATAGAAATGGCCACACTATTGAATCCAGAAGCACAAAGTTACTCTCCTTCTCCTGCCTTCTGATTTCCTGGTAGTGCCTCCCACTGGCAGAACTTCAGGGGAAGCCACCAGGCATGAGAGCCTGGGAAATGTGGTTCACACACTCTGGGCCCCTGCAGTAGAGTATAAAAGGGCAAGAGTATAACTGAGAAACAACAGATGAATAACCTCCACATAGTCAAGAATAGAAGCAGGGAGACCACTGCTATTGTTATATACAGTTCAGGGGAAAATTTATTTGGTTTGAACTAGGACGGAAGCGGTTGGATTCAACATACATTTTGAAAATACGGTGAAAGAGGAGTCAAGGATGATTCCAAGGACTTTGGCCTGAGTAAATGGGTTACAGGATTGTCCCATTTATTGAGACAGGGAACACTGGAGGACTATGCATGGTGTGTGTTTATTTGGTGGAGGAGAATAAATAAAAAATTCTACTTAAAGTTAACTTTAAGATGCTTATTATCAATTCAAATCGAGATGAATTAGATATAAATAAATACACCCTCGACTTCAGAGGAAACGCTGGGATTAGAGCCTTCTCTGACCACCATCCATGGAATTAGATGAGGGTGTGACTGCGGAGAAGAGGACCCGGGACTGAACCCTAGGGCACCTGAGCACTTAGGAGATCAGGACGGGAGAAAGATCCAGCGAGCTAAAAGGAAAACCAGAAAACTGCAGGGAAATGAAAAAGAAAGGAAAGCATTTCCAGAAGATGGGAATGAGTAACTGTATCAACCATTGGTGAGTAGAGTCAGATGAGAACTAGAAAGTAAGGAGGAAAACCCGAGCGGTGTGGGCGCTCGTGGTGGCAGGAGGTCTGCTGTAAAGGGGAGCTGAAAAATGGGATGGTAGCTAGCGGGTGACACGCAGCCAGGGGAGAATTTTTTTTATTTCTTTAAAGGCTAGGCTATGATAATGTTTGTATACTACAGGGAATGCTCACTGTCGCAGCACACAGGAGACGAAGTCCTGGCTTCCTGCCCTGAGGAGGCTAACCTCCGAGGGAACCCATGAGACCCGCCCCCGCCGCATCAAGCCGAAGCCGCTATCCGCGGAGGGGCGGGGAGAGGCGGCGGGAGCTGGGGCGGCGCTGGGCTCCGGTGCTCACGCTCCACAGCCCGGAGAGACGTCTGGCGGCGCCAGGCCTTCCACCTCTGTCCATTCGGCCACATCCGCAGTCACAAAATGGAGGAGGAAGGAAAGCACCTCTGCAGAGCGCCTCGCAGCTTGGGCCGCGTTCCGGCGCTGTTGGGCGCTTCCTGCCCCTGCCCCGCGCCAGACTCTCAGCCGCTCGCCCTCCGCGCCTCAGCCCGCTTCTCGAGGACTCCTCTTCCCCGCCTTCCGGAGCCACCCCGGGGCTCCTCTCAGTAGCACCTCCGACTTCCCTTCACCCCAGCACCGCGACGCCACGCCGGCGGGGCGGCGCCAAGGGGGCCGCAAACCCTGCTCCCCAAGCGCCGGCCGTGGTCAGAGCGAGAGCAGTGGGCGGGGGCTCGGCAGGCACCCAGCTCGCGGCGGTCACGTGGGACGCTCGGGCCAATAGGCGCGAGGCTCTGGGTCGGGCCCAGCCCCACGGCGGGGCGGTCGGGCAGTCGGACTGGTTGGGTGCTGAGGTAGCGTCGCTGCGAGCTGTCCAGTGGGCGAGCGAGGTGCGGCTCGGGGTCTGCAGTGCGGGCCCACCCCGAGGGAGGCCAGGGAGGCGCCCACCAGCACCTGCGACATCCCTCCCGCCACGCCCCCGCGCCGCGACAACCCTCAGACCTCACCTTTCTCCTCAGGACCAGGCCATGGAACGCGAAGTCCAGCGGGTTCGCCAGGCATTCCGGTCGGGCCGGTCGCGACCCCTGCGGTTCCGGCTGCAGCAGCTCGAGGCCCTGCGGCGGATGGTGCAAGAGCGCGAGAAGGACATCCTGGCGGCCATCGGCGCCGACTTGTGCAAGGTACGCGCCCGGCGGGAGGGACCCGGCCGCCGGCCACTCGCCGCTCCGGTTGGGAGCAGCAGTCCTCCGGAGCTGACCTTTTTGTTTTTCTTTTTAAACATTTCTGGTTACGCAAGCACTGTGGGAGTATGATCCCCAGTGGCACAGATAAAGACAAGCAGTACGGAAAGCGCAGGTTTCCTGTGAGGTCCCCGGTCCCCAGGCTCGCTTAGCGCCAGCCCCTGTTGTGTTTTCAGACACATTCGAAGTGCATGTGTCACTTGGCCTGTGTAGTTCCTCCTCTGCGAATTGCCGTTTATATTCTTGACCATTTCCTTGCGATTTGTAGGAATTCTTTGTATGGTCTGGATTCGTCAGCTTGACATAGTGCAAGCTTTCTTTTTTCTGTGTCTATTTCTTTTATCATTGTTTATGGTCTTTTGTAAGCAGGTTTTTTTGAGATATTCAGATTTTCCTTCATGACCGTATATTATTAGGTCAGTGCTCCTCAAGCCTTATGCAGTGACGGTCTCCTGGTGATCTTGTTAAAATGCAAATTATGGTTCAGTAGGTCTGTGGTGGGGTCTGAGATTCCAAGTTTCTAACAAGGTCTCAGGTGATACCACGGTGCCTCTTTTGGAAGCATGCTTTGAGTAGCAAGGTTTGAAGTAGTGTTTAGAGTATAAATATATTTCTCTCTGTTTTCTAACAATATGGCTTTCATCGGCCGGGCGCGGTGGCTCACGCCTGTAATCCTAGCTCTCTGGGAGGCCGAGGCGGGCGGATTGTTTGAGCTCAGGAGTTTGAGACCAGCCTGAGCAAGAGCGAGACCCCGTCTCTACTAAAAATAGAAAGAAATTAATTGGACAACTAAAAATATATAGAAAAAACTAGCCGGGCATGGTGGCGCATGCCTGTAGTCCCAGCTACTCGGGAGGCTGAGGCAGGAGGATCGCTTGAGCCCAGGAGTTTGAGGTTGCTGTGAGCTAGGATGATGCCACGGCACTCTAGCCCGGGCAACACAGTGAGACTCTGTCTCAAAAAAAAAAAAAAAAAATATGGCTGTCATCTTATTTTTGTCTGGATTTCAGGTATAGCAAGGCTTTGCTGTGGGTTTGTGATACTCCCTTCCCCACATGCCCCCAATTAAACGTTATTTCAAGGAGTAGTGACAGCAGTAGTGATACCAGCAGTAACTATAAAATTTCTTTTAGAGTACTTTTGGTGGAGAAGGGCTATGATGCTATATAAACAAGATGGGGTAATTAAGGTTCAGAATGTCTGTGAATCACTTATTCATTCTACAAGAATCAAATGTGTGAGTATGTGTATATATAGGATTACTAAAGAAATACAGTAAGTTCCCTGCCCTTGAGGGTTTTAAACTTGGTTGGGAAACAGAATATACACAGGCAAAATGTGAGTATAGTTATAAACCAGGGTATTAAGGGCGAAGTATTACGATACAGGTCAAAAGTATTATTGCTATGGTATATGAAGTGTCATCAGGACAGGCCATTATTAATCAGGAAAGTCTTCTGAAAGAGGTAACATTTAAGCCTGATTTTAGAGGGTGTGAGGATCAGTGGAGAAGAATTTATACGCACTGAATATATTAGGGAATTAGCAAGTCCTTTTTGAGGGCATGGAGGGTGCAAAAGGAAAGATGGCAAACCCATGACTCTGATAATGCCAGTGGTTGTCACTGCAGGTGTACCTGGCCTGAGGTTTTTGACATTCAGTGCCAAGGGTATCATACTCGTTGTGCAAGGTTAACTGTGATTCTCTTATAACAGAGTGAATTCAATGCATACAGTCAGGAAGTCATTACTGTCCTTGGGGAAATTGACCTTATGCTGGAGAATCTTCCTGAATGGGTTACTGCTAAGCCTGTTAAGAAGAACCTGCTCACAATGTTGGATGAGGCCTATATTCAACCAGAGCCTCTAGGAGTGGTACTGATTATTGGAGCTTGGAACTACCCCTTCATTCTCACCATTCAGCCACTGGTAGGAGCCATCGCTGCAGGTCTGGTGCCATCTTATGTCTTTACCCCTTTTTAGAGGGCTTATTCTCTCATATTGTTTGTAAATTAAGGAAGGTGGCTAATTAAATATATTTACTTTGGTGGTTTACCTTGGTTCACACCAGCAGGGTATTAAGAATTCATAAATATATATATTTTAAAGGGGCTGCTGAGGAGATTTGTTTGACTATTTTATGAAACACCTGGGGAATGAACCTGTGAAGGTGTAAAGGCATGTGAGTCAACAGGTCCAGGAGTTTGGAGCCAGGCGTCTGTATTCTAATGTGGTTTCAGTTGCTGGCTCTGGCCTCGGATGAACCATTTGATTCTGTCTGATTAGTTTCTTCATACAAATAAAGGCTATGGGAGTAATGCTAACTTGGGTGTATAGCAAATGCCAAGAGATTAATTTTTAACTTTGTGAGATCCAGATCAACAGCTCTATGTTGACATGGCGTGTTTGCCCAATAATTCCAGGGCAGAGAGGAAAATCAAAGGGCAGAATTGGGAGAAAAGGGATAGAAAGCTAGAGGAATGGGAAAGGCTGATGAAGCACATTTTCAAAGACCTGAAGATAATGACAACTAAGGAGTTAGCATTTGAGAAGAAAGTGAGAAACTCATTAGAAGTAGAATTAAGAGCTGCAGAAATAGAGTACTTAGCCCGTCCTTCCCACATGAACACCATCTTGGTGGCTATTAAATTTACTCAAGTATTAGATGATATTGTTCTACTTTTTACTTTGTTTAGGAAATGCTGTGATTATCAAGCCTTCTGAACTAAGTGAAAATACAGCCAAGATATTGGCTAAGCTTCTCCCTCAATATTTAGACCAGGTAAGAATGTCTTGACCCATCTTTAATATGTTTATTTTGGAAAACACACATTGATTTTCCTGCCAGTCTATGTCATTGCTGGCTGGAGATCTAATTGTAGTTTCCTTAAGCCTCTAACAATTGGCTTAGAAAAGTAGTTCCAATTGAGGTTGCTGTCACCTCCTTTAGATTTTTATAGCCACCATTTCCCACTCCCTAAACAATTGAGTTGTGCCTACTGTAAATAATGTTAATAATGATTTTGGCTATCATTTATTGAACACTGTATATCAGGCACTGTGCTAAGCATCTTGCATGCATGATCTCACTTTATTCTCCTGATAACCCAATGAAAGAGTTTATCTAATTACTTTCATTTTAAGGATCAGGAAACCAAGGCATTGAGCACTTAAGTAACTGGTCCAAGGTCCCACAGCTCAGTAGGTGGTAGCAGACAGCTGAGATTCAAATGCAGCTCTGCCCAGCCCAGAAGCCTTGTTCTTAACTTCCACGGCCACTTCTCCCTCCATCCTCCGGGAACCAGCTCAGGTTCCATCTCTCCAAGGCGCAGGTGGTGCAGGACCTCTGCAGGGGTGATTTTAACACCCATCTTGCTGCTTAAAACCGACAGGTAATTGCCCAGCCACTGGAAGATCCAGGGGCATCATCCTTTGTCTTTTTTTTTCCTTAATTTTTTCAAATTTAAAAAGTTACAAGCATTACATGTCTTTTTATACTAGATTAAACTAAATAGAGGATTATAAAAACAAACTACGTGATCTCCCTTTGTGCTGTGTTAATCCTACCACTGACTAACCAGTATTGAGTTTACTTGCATACTTCTACCACTTTATGAAGGCTATTGCAAACATAAGGAAACATATGCACATGTATAAAGAGTTTCCATTTCTTTTAAACAATAAAAAAAAGAATCATCCCAAAAAAAAAAAAAAAAAGAAAAGTAGTTCCAAAATATACTGTGGAATAACCCAGGTATTGTGGTTACCCAATATATTTAGGCCCATGGCTTTATTACGTATTCTGCTATTTATAGATCCTTTTCTATAATTTGGCATTTGGGATTAATCCTTATTTGAGTTAACATATGATTTTTGGTGTATTCATTTAGTGGATTATTTAATGAGGCACTAGTACTTTGCCAGGCGCTAGCATATTTTTGTTCCTGACAATCTTTGTTGCTGACCATCTCTTTTGTCCTAACAGAATATAATTTTGTATGATTATATAAAAATACTTCCTTTAAAAAGGGCATATTTGTAGCATGAAAACTACAGAAAGAAAGTGACCTCTTGAGCCAGAGGGTGGATCCTGACTCTGGGTTAAAGTGCTGGCATTTAGAGTATCAGCAGCTGAATAAAGAAAACGATCTCCTCAAATGTGGCGTAGTTCATCTCTCTGTCTGAACTGGAGGTTCCTGAGCTCTCCTAAGGAGGAAGTTTATGATGCTACTGTGAAATCAGGACTGCTGAGTTCTACATGCACTTGCTGCAGGGAAGAGTCTTCATTTAGCTTTCATTGAAAGACAACTTTAAAATATCTGTGTTGTACACATTAATTTATAATGTCCTTGAGGCCAACTCTGGCTCTTGGAATAATTTTGTCTTTGTTATCTTATCACTACTGTGGCAGCCTGCAGAACAATTTTGTTCTAATAGCTGTGATTATCCAATCCAGAAGGATGAAATGGAAAATATTGAGTGGATTGAGTAGGACTTGGAACCAGAAGATGGAGGTTGACGGTCCTTCTTTGCCCCTCACCAGGGGTAGATTCTTCAGTAGCTGACTCTGCTTCAGTTAGCTTGTTGGGAGAATCAATAATATACTATATCAATTAAGCCATAGAAAAGTTAAAACTTGAAACATTTGTTCAGCTGCTCAACTATGACGTGAATGAGAACTAATTAACTTTGAAAGGAGATCTACAAGCCAGCTTTTACTTCCTACTCATACCTGAGAATCTTTTGAATATCTCCATCTTCTTTCCTTGCCATCTGTTTTCTGTCATGACTTTTCATGCTGTTATTTGTCTAAGATACTCTCTCTTTTAGAATAGCTGTTAATAATAGTGCAATGCATATAAGGTCTTAGTCCACAGAAGCTGTATGAATTTACCCAATAACAGATGAGGAAACATGTTTGTAGCTTGCCTAAGGTCACACAAGCTAGTGAGTGGCAGAGCCCATATTCAATTCAGATGTACTTCAAAAGCAGGTGCTGTAGGTGTGCTATGCTATGTACACCATTCATGCAGCATATCATGGGTAAGCCCTGCTCTGTGTTGTGTAGAGAGAGAACATTCAGATATGCAGCTGGGACTTGTCCTGTGGCCATTGACAGCAGCCACTCTCTGACCAAAATCCTTAGGTTCTACAAACATACCTATCTCATGTATTTCCCTGGTCAAATCCAACCATTTGCTGTCTTGTGTCTTTATTACTGAGCTCCTATGGAAAACATTAGACTCTCTGGGTTGGTTTCAAGTAGATTGATGGTTCCCAGACATAAGCAGACTCTATATTCTCCACTCATCCTTGGTCAGCTCCCTCTCCCATCCCTCACGGGAACTGGTCTCCACATTCTCCTGGTTTTACTGAATGTTACATGTTTATGTTGAAGAAATTGCTGATGTTAGATAATAGGATTAATTTGGCAATGCAAGAGTTTCTTTCTTTTTCTTTGAGGACCTGTATGTTATTGTTAATGGTGGTGTTGAGGAAACCACAGAGCTTCTGAAGCAGAGATTTGACCACATTCTCTATACGGGAAACACTGCAGTTGGAAAAATTGTCATGGAAGCTGCTGCCAAGCATCTGACCCCTGTGACTCTTGAACTGGGAGGGAAAAGTCCATGTTATATCGATAAAGACTGCGACCTGGACATTGTTTGCAGGTGAGACTGGCTCTCTAGTTTTTGAGGTTTTCCCAGCACAGTGGAGACTTTTACTAATAGGTTAGTGTTATCCTTTGCACTAGAACCTCATACCTTCTGGCTCCAAGATACATCATTTGGTGTTTGGTGTTCTCAAGAGTAATAGAAGTCTTTCACAAACTATCTCTTGGTGCCATTGTTAGAAATGATGAGCCATAGGTCCTGACATCGTGTGGTTGTCCTTAGGAATTTTGAAAAAGTTCTTTCTGTTCTTAAGGTTACAGCTAGATCTGGGAAGAAATTTTAATGTTCTGCAGGCCAATGGTCCATGAAGTAGATAATCCAAGTATTGTGTATGCCTAATAAAATCTTTAAATTCCCGTTTGAAAAGGTATTATGTTGATCTCTTAACTGAGATTCTTTGTTGACAAAACCAGTATTACTCATCTTTGAATAGCATCTTGCATCTGGAAATTAGAAAATAAGAAAGAAGTTTCAGGTTCTCTCGACTAAATCAAGTATAGCTACTAGAAAGTGCCAAAACAGAATCAGGTGGTGTGGTTTTCTCTCCCCTTCAGAAATGGGGCACAAAGGAGAAAGTACGGAGTTAGGTCAGGGTTCCAGCTTGGCTTTGTAAGTAGAGGTCCAGTTGCAAGAACAAGAGACCCTCAGTTAGTGAATATTCAGGTTTTAGGCTTCTGCCTATTCCTGGGAAAGGTTTTCCAAAGTGGGGAAGGGCTCTACATAGAGGAGGGTGGCTGTCATTCTGCTTTATGAATGTTTTGCCAGCAGGACCTAAAGCCACAGCCAGGAGAGGTAGAGTCTATACTAAACTCCTGTCTTCCAGGATGTCCTTTTGGCTGGAGTAGGAGAGGTAAAGGGGTTTTGAGAGGCTGTTTCTCCTCTTTTCCTGCAGCATGCAATGGCTTTCTTTACTGCTTATCAGGTATTCTTTTCCATGAGCTGGCTTGAGAACTTTCCTGCTACTTAGAACATCCTATCTGAGTTGGAACATACATTCTAAGTTCCAACCAACTGTTTTAGGAATGAGTTTTTATTTTTTATGAAGATTACCAAGTAAACATATGAATCTAGTTACAAAACAAACAACACAAAAGTATGTAACAAGTGAATATGTGACTGAATTATACAGCCATTCTGGGTTTTTCCTCTCAGACGCATAACCTGGGGAAAATACATGAATTGTGGTCAAACCTGCATTGCTCCCGACTATATTCTCTGTGAAGCATCCCTCCAGAGTCAAATCGTGGAGAAGATAAAGGAAACTGTGAAGGTTTGTGTTCAACACATCTGATTTTGTTGATTTCAATAAGATAAGGAGTCAAATTAACTATTTGCAGGGCATCTTCATTCCCTCCTTCCCCCAGGAAAATTCCAGTAGCATATGTGACTGAATTAACTTATTGGCTAATTGAAAATGCTTTATGCTTCTTTTATAGATTATCTTCTGGGAGCAAGGTTAAGTTGGTGTTAAATCCACTTAAACCATTTAGTTGATTTGTTGGTGATGAGTTGTGGTGTATTCTTTTTAAAAGTTAAACAACTGTGCATCTGTGCTTTTGAGGGAATATTGTCAATCCTTAAGTGTAATCTTAGACCCTTGGCATGTATTGGCCATTTCTGATTAAGGTTATCAGTTCTTGTGTCTGTAGAGGGCCTGGGATGGCCAGTAGTTAGGAGGAATGAATTAATTAAATAACTACTTATAGTGTACCCTTTATGTGGTTATCAGTCTTTCAAGGTGTTCAGAGTAAAGATCTGCAGTGAGGAAATCAAGGAAGGCTGCAGCGTAGGGTCCTAAGCTAAGACTGGAAGGAGATGGAGGATTTCGTTTGGTAGAAAGGAAAGAGATGACCAGTATAACTGAGTTCAGTAGTGGGAGAGGGTCACTAACCCCCAGGTGAAAGAAATGCTTGGGACAATCATTCACTCAACAGATGTTAGTTGAGCACTAAGGAAGGATCAAGAATACCAGAGAGTAATGTATGTGATCAGAAAATGAAAATTATGTACCGGGAATTTTAGGGAGATAATTCACAGTGGTTCCAGGCAGAGTAACTGGGGATGAGGTGCTAGGGTCTTTATGTGGGAATTGGACATTAATGATAGGACTGAAGATGTTTCCAGATGAGAACACAAAGGGAGAGTTGGCCAGATTCAGGGAACGTGGGATTGGAAGAGAGAGTGGTTAAAGACACGTGTGAGATTGAAAATACTTGGAAATTGGAGAAGTGCTTAGTTGAGTATGGTGATTAATTCAGTTTCAAAGGAGTAAGGCCCATCTGCATTCCTTTGAGGCATTTATACCCTAACACAGTGGTTCTCAACTGAGCTACACGTTAGAATCACTAGGGAGCCACTTAAAAATAAGTTTCCAGTCCTTACCCGCCAAAGATTCTGATTCAAGTCATCTGAGGCCCCCAGGTGATTCTGTGATGCAATCCTCATCGAGTACTACTGTTGATGGCTCCGGAGTTAGGGTCCAGGAACATGAATTTCAGCAAGCTGCCCTTGTGATTTCCACCACCTTGAGACTCACTTGACTTGAGAATCGCTCTTGGTGTGAACAATGTTCATTTTGATTTGAGATTATAAATTGAGAGCCCTCATAAGGCTTTGAAGTGATGAGCAATTCAATAATTCTGTGTTTGTTTTATATAAGAAATACTGATATATGATTATTGAGGTTCTTTTACCTTGGTAATTTACCAAAGCTGTATTTTGATCCTTTGAGTGGTTTCACCATCATCTGTGACTGGTAGGAATACCGGTTCAGAGAAGATAAAAACAACAAAATAGAGTAACAGTTGCAAACTTTTTCTGTAAAGGGATACATAGTAAATATTTTAGGCTTTGCAGACCATAGGGTCTCTGCTGCAACTACCCAACTTATTTCTGGGGAAGAGCAGCCACAACCAATGTGTGAAAAAACGGGCAACCGTGATACAGAGCAAGACCTCTTTCCTCACATCTACTCTCACATTCACCCTCAGGAGGGCCCATGGGTAAACCACGAGAGATCCATAGGAACCCCCTGGACCTATAGAGAATGATAGATCTCTCTGTGTGTCTGCATGTGCGTGTGTGTGTGCAGGGGCTTTATTTTCTAGTCCTTGAACTGCCGAAAAGCTTAAGCTTACTGTTGGGAAATAGGCTAAGAGACGTGAAAGGTTTCAGGGGTTTTGCAGGGCTTTGCCTTGAAGGAATCTGTGGGCATGTTAGTTCACAGAATAGAAACTGCTTCTGACAAGGAGGGCATTGTCAGAGGATGTTCGCAAAACAACATTTCTTCTTTGCTGCCGGCCATCACCTTGAGCTTTTTTGCAAGGCAGAAGCTCCGTTTGGGTCCTTGGCGGAGAAGCTGATTAAAATGCCTCCCCAGCAGATAACACGCAGGTAGAACTATCCTAGACTTCAAGGCTATTCCTGCTTCACTCCTGACTACAGGTCTCTGTGTTTAGAAGAAGTAGATTAGAGTAGTACTCAGACTCAGTGTTCTCGTTTTATACATTTTAATTTGTATGCTCAGCTAGGTCTGTTTCTAACTTAGAGCTTAACATGCTTATCTTAGAAAAATTTTGTAACCGTCTATTCTTGTAGACAGAATTAGGTAAATTCCCCTGGAAACCTCAAAAAATGAGCTATAACATAATTCTTTAACAAAAGAATTGCTGTAACAATAAATACTGATGTGGGATTTCAGTCATGACATCATAGCTCATGGGAATGCTGGAGGACCCCTGACCCCTCTATCACTTTAAACTGCTCTTTGTCTCCGTCTCAATCATTTCTCCATCTATATTATTTCTTTATTTCCTATTATTTCCAAATCTCTTGCGATGATCCTGCCTTGGGGCCTGTTTTGCTGGGAGCGTAACTAACTCCTGGCAGCTTACTACTATTATACTACTGTTAAATTACTTGGGGAATAGGGTGTTAGATTCTGTGAGTATATAAAATCAGATCTGTTTTGGGGCATGAGTGGATTTTGTACTTATTAAAGGAATTGAAATATGGGTCTTTGTGACAATTAAATACTCCCATTGTTTTAAACAGGAATTTTATGGAGAAAATATAAAAGAGTCTCCCGATTATGAAAGGATCATCAATCTTCGTCATTTTAAGAGGATACTAGGTTTGCTTGAAGGACAAGAGATAGCTTTTGGTGGGGAGACTGATGAGGCCACGCGCTATATAGGTAATGGAAATTCACCTTTTCCTATGGGAGGATGGCAGTTGGGCAGTTTTTACGGACACTACTTTTTGACACTGAATAAACTATTGTTAATATATAGCATTTAATTAATTATTAAAGTATTAAATACTGCTTTCTGGTATGCTACTTTTGTTATAAGCTATTTTAAAATATATATGTATACATATTTAATAATACCACCAGTGTTGTACTAATTTTCCATATTTACACATATATTATCTATTTTTTTTCTTCCTAACCACCCTGAGAAGCAGAATAGAACTTTATGTTTATGAATGGGAAAACAGCCCATAGAAGGAAATAGCTTTGCCACTATTCCACAACTAGCCAGCAACAGTAACAGTCTAGAAATAATGTTTTGATCTATCATGCTTGATCTTATTATTTGTTTACCTTCTTTGTGTTCTTTTTTCTTTGCCATGAATATATATTACTTAGAATTTTAAACACATTTTTTCTAAAATAGCGTAAGGAGACAGAAAATTACAGACACATTTGGTTGGCAAAGAAGCTGTCCCACATACCTTTACTTACCACCTTTATCAGATAAGATGCTGCAAGTCACCGAAAAACTAACTTTAATAAAACAAAAATAAAAAGATTTAAATAATGAGAAATTTGTTCTCTTATAATGAGCATTCCTGAGGTCTTCCAGGCTGGATAATTCAGTGGCTTGGTAATACCATCAAAAAAACCTGATTCTTTGCACTAGGATGCAAAAGAAAAAAAAAATCCCTGTGTCGTCTTCTTTTTTTTTGTTTGTTTCTTTTTTTGTGTGTGTGAGACAGTCTCACTCTGGTTGCCCGAGCTAGAGTGCTGTGGCATCAGCCTAGCTCACGGCAACCTCAAACTCCTGGGCTCAAGCAATCCTTCTGACTCAGCCTCCCGAGTAGCTGGGACTACAGGCATGTGCCACCATGCCTAGCTAATTTTTTCTATATATTTTTAGTTGTCCAGCTAATTTCTTTCTCTTTTTTCTTTTTTTTAGTAGAGACACAGTCTCGCTCTTGCTCAGGCTGGTCTTGAACTCCTGAGCTAAAACAATCCTCCTGCCTCAGCGTCCCAGAGTGCTAGGATTATAGGTGTGAGCCACCACGCCCAGCCAATCCCTGTGTCTTCTGTCTGTCTTTGGGGAAACCCAAATTGAAATGGGGAATAATCTGTAAAAAAGAGGGAAAAAAAGAAAAAGAGAAAAAACTCTAATTCTTTCATCTCTCTGTTCTCCCATCTTCAGCATGTCCACTTCTAGGCTACTCAATGACAAGAGGAAGGGCCTGTCCTGATTAGTTTATAGACTAATTAGGACTTTCCCCTGACCTGGAGCTGGGATCGCCTTACCTGATCACTTGACTATGCAGAGGAATGTAGACACCCAAACCAGTTCTCTGACCCAAGGAAGCCGTGGGCAGTGCTTTGGGGCAGCAGTTTACCCCTGGAGTAGTGCTGCAAAGAGCTGTCCTCAGCCGTGTTGCCACGATACCCTAGCAGAAACTAGGGGCAAAGAAGAAGAGCCAACTTGTTATTGTCAGATGTCTTCTCTTTCAGCTGACAATGCAATTTGTTTACAGGGTCTTTTTGAGTTGGTGCTGCTTGTTGGTGACTTACATTGGCACCAACACTGGGACACACTGCACAGCCTCTTCAGTATCCATTTCACCCACCTCTCTCAGTCTATATAACAGAGTTGTAATAAAGGTCAATGAGATAATATGCATGAAAGCACTTCAGTTAAGAAGAAATAGTGGGAGAAGTCTTTGCTCCCAGAAAGACCTGTCCACAGAAAGATGTTAAATATGCATATGGCTATGAATGGGGTTAAATGTGATTAAGATACATTCAAGCATATATCTTTCCCTTGGTTTGCACAAGAATCCCTGATTCACATGCATGGGAGACATTTAGTATTTGCATGGTTTATCTGTACACTCAGGACTTTTCAATAGATTTGATTTGGGTGGAAGAAGGAAAAGGATGGATACATGACCCAATGAAAGAAATGTAAGATGAGAGCTTTGCATTTTTGTTCTCTACTTTAGCGTTTTCGTTTTCATTTTGTTTATTTTCTTTTCAGCTCCAACAATACTTACTGATGTTGATCCTGAAACCAAGGTGATGCAAGAAGAAATTTTTGGACCAGTTCTTCCAATAGTGCCTGTGAAAAGTGTAGATGAAGCCATAAATTTCATAAATGAACGTGAAAAGCCTCTGGCTCTCTATATATTTTCTCATAACAGTAAGGTAAAATTTGTAGAGAACAACTCACTATCATAAGGAACTATCATCAGTTATATTCCTTCTTTGCTGTAAAACAATGATGGCTTATTTTCTATCACATCAGAGCCCAGCAAGTGAGGTTGTAGTCCTAGATTTCTGTCTTGGGTAATGAGGCCCTGGGGTTATCACTGCATGTACTCCCTGGAGTTAGATCTGAGTCTGCAGGGGTGAGTGTCACAAGGTTTTTGACTCACAAACACCTCCAGTATAATTGGAAGATTTATATGTACCAGCATTAAATGCTTTTCTGATGTTAATCCACAGGGCATTGCTGTGTAAGAGCTTGCCCCGTCACCGAAGTGGCATTTGCAGCCACTCCAGTGGGGCTGTGTGGGACAAAGACCTCTGGCACTGCTGTGTAAATGGTTGTGATATCATGGATTTCAGTTTCTCACATTATGTTACCTTATTGTTAGAGTAGTGGAACCACATCACCTGGTTGAGCAGCTTTGCCACTTTCTGCATGGGCTCACTCATTTGCATTGCTAGGTGGGTAACCACTGCTAAGGGACAGTGGCCTCGGAGTGGGCAAGTAGGTTTAGGAGCCCTTTGAAGAAACAGGAAAACTAGAAGGGGGAAGATGGGACTAGTCAAGATCTGAGGATGCCAAATGTTTCCTGGAGAGTGGCTGATGGTAACCTATGGGTAGTCGTGGCAGATTCTGGAGCTCGCAATGCTGTTGAGATACAGATAGCTACGGGTATTTGAAGTGAGACCAAATGTTTGGCTGGAAAAGACTGGGTTATTAACAAAACAATGGTCTGACATTTAAAGTGACCATAGATAAAGGAGTGGGCAGGAAGGAACCCTGAAGTCTACTGGCCAGGGTACAACTCAGTGTGGAGCACTTCCTTGCAGTGGGTCACCTGAGGTCACTGCAATCTAGACGTGATGGTTGCCATGAAGAACTCTCAAGGGTTTGTTGGCACCCAGATGAGATCACATTTATTGGTCAAATGTCTTTGCACCTTATTGGATCTTAGGCCAACTAAGCATTTATTTCTTAAAAAACAGGATGCTGGCTGGGCGCAGTGGCTCACGCCTATAATCCTAACACTCTGGGAGGCTGAGGTGGAAGGATCGCTCGAGGTCAGGAGTTCGAGACCAGCCTGAACAAGAGCAAGACCCTGTCTCTACTAAAAATAGAGAGAAATTATCTGGACAACTAAAAATATGTAGAAAACATTAGCCGGGCATGGTGGCACATGCCTGTAGTCCCAGCTACTTGGGAGGCTGAGTCAGAAGGATTGCTTAAGCCCAGGAGTTTGAGGTTGCTGTGAGCTAGGCTGACGCCACAGCACTCTAGCCCGGGCAACAGAGTGAGACTGTGTCTCAAAAAAAAAAAAAAAAAAAAATAGGATGCTAAATCTAAAATCTTAAATATTTTTTGCATTTCATAAAGACCAAATAGTACCTTTTAATAATATGCTATAATTTACAGCAGAGAGTGTTCTAATTTTTACAGACCAGAATATAGTCTAAATTATCTCTTACAAAGAGCATTTTGCTGCTGTTTTGGGGAGTACAACTCTAGGTGGCAATTGAGTGAACAGGTCTGAAGGTTCAGGGCTGCCTTCCACAATGCAGTAGATGTGCATCTGAGAAGTTAGATATCAGTCACGGTTGCTAAATGAACCGCAGTTTAGATTATTTGACTGCTATAGTGTCCCCAAACTCGAACTCCCGCTGATACAAAGGCAGAATGAATGTGCGTCCATAGAGGACACAGCCCTCCATATGGGGAGCCTCAAGTGCTCTGTAAGGCGTGATGTCACTGACTTGGATGCCTTTGGTCTGTATCTCAGCTCATCAAACGGATGATTGATGAGACGTCCAGTGGTGGTGTCACAGGCAATGACGTCATCATGCACTTCGTACTCAATTCGCTCCCCTTTGGAGGAGTGGGTGAGTATTACTTTCTCCTGCTCATAGTAAATATTTCAAAAGCACCACCATTTCACGAGTGATTTGTGCAGGCTGTTGAGATAGCCGGCTGCTGCTTATCCTAATTTTCCTCTCCTGAGAGAGGCCTTCCCCAGCCACCCAGTTGACAGTGGTTTTTCTGCTTCCTTGCCTGTCCCTCCAGTGTGAGTTGAATCTCTGTCCTTTCTGTCCTCAGTAGCACTTACCACAGCTGTAATTACTTTGTTTTTTATTTTTTAAATGAAGAAATTTTCAATTCTTTGGTGCTGATTCAGTATCTTTTTAATTAAAAATGAGACAGATCCATTTGTACCTTTTGAGGTTTTCTTTTAATCTACATGTTTATATAATCTATTTAAATAATAATTTTAAAATGTATACATAGGGACAAGCCATAAAACTGTACCAACTGGATCCTAGATCCTCTTTCTCCAAGGGCAGCCCATTCTTGTACTTTACTTCATTGATTTACTTGTTAATAGGAGATTTGGGAGCCAAGAATCAGGTCTCAAATTAATCAGTGAGATCTCGTTCTCTCTCTTTTTTAAATGAGATAGCAATGAAAGGTTCAGAATGCCAGGGAACAGATAGCAGTCAGAAGAATTTTTCTAATGTCCGTTTGTTTTCTATTCAAGGTAATGTTAGGTGGTAACCAGTTCTTAACCTACGTTGGTTCCTCAACCCTCTGTTGGGAGGAGGAGCCTCTCCTTGAATTGTTTTGTGGTTTGAGTAGAACAAGACTCCCCTTGTTCTAGAGAGGATGGTCACAAAGAATTTTATTCTCAGCAAAGCTCTGTGGACACAGCCTGGTCATTGTGGTTCCCTTTGGAATGTGACCTGCCTCCCTCTCCCACACCTGAGATGATCGACTCAACTTTTTATTTCTCCTTTGGGACCTTGTTAGTAGGCTTCTCCACTGTCTAATAGAGGTATTACAGAATAACCAATGTGTAAGAATTCTCATAACAAAAAAAAGCAAATGATAAAAGCAATGGTCGTAAAGCCCCTGCTTTATCCTCTTCCTTTGTAATAGCATAAATAAATTGCTCCATGGGATGTAACAGTCCAGTTTGGCGGGACCATCTTTTCCTGGTTTAGGAAGCTTTGTCCCATGACCAAGGAACCCTGGCCTGCAGCCACAGGTCCCTATCTAGGATGTAAACATATTGCCACATCCAACACAGTGCCTGACATACATGAGGGACAGGCAGGGAGAGGCCATATTGGTGGGTATTGCCAGATCCAGATTAGAGATGGTGGTGGCTTGGAGAGGGTGGTAGCAGAGAAGATAGTGTGGAAAGGGAGGGGATATTTTGGGGGCCAAGCAGCAGGATTTCCTGATGGAGTGAATGTGGGGGGAATGGTGAATGAGAGTATGACTCCTGAAATTTTGGCTGGAGTAACTGTAGTTTTATAGCCCAAATGTTTAAAAGATTAGATTAGACTCTGTTATCTCTAGTTCCTCAGCTCTCCCCACAGAATCCTGGCTTCACTGTGCTACTGCAGCCGTCAACTCTGTAATTGTTCCATATGATGTCAACAGTGCCCCCTATGTGCAAAATCTAAGTGACCAGGGTTCAGTCCCTTGTCCTACTTTGATAAGGTAGCATAAGGATCACTGACCATACCTTCCTTAAAACAACAAACCTTTTTTTCCCCAAATGCAAAAGCAATATGGGCTTTTTAAGAAAACTTGGAAAAGATAGAAGAGCGCAAAGAATAAACATTTAAATTGCCCTTAACTCCACTATGCAAAAGCAGCTGCTGTAGGCCAGATATGGTGGCTCACACCTGTAATCCTAGTGCTTTGGGAGGCCAAGCAGGGAGGATTACTTGAGGCTAGGAGTTTGAGACCTAGACAATATAGCAAGACCCCATCTCTACAGAAATTTTTTTTAAAAGTAGCCAGGTGTGGTGTCATGTGCCTGTAGCTACTCAGGAGGCTGTTCTAGCTACTCAGGAGGCTGAGGTGGGAGGATCGCTTGAGCCCAAGAGTTTGAGGTTGCAGTGAGCTATGATGACACCACTGTACTCCAGCCTCGGTGACAGAGTGAGAGCCTGTCTCTGAAAAACAAACCAACCAGCCTGGTGTATGTATTGCACTTATATGCACACACATATATGCAGACGCTCGAATATTCTATTCAAAATGGTATCCTATTGTATATTGTTTTCTAACCTATATGTGACAGGATAGTGTGATAGTTTCCCATGTCATTATGCTTGCAGGTCATGATTTTAGCAATTGCGTAGGGTTCCATCATATGAATGTGGCACATTTATGTAACCAATTCCCTGTATTAGATTTTTGTGATTTCAAATTTTTTGATATTATAGTTCTTACATAATATGTCTTTGTGCAGTCTCTGATTATTTCTTTAGGAAAAATGTCTAGAAATATAACAATGTTAAAGGGGCTTATACATATTTTTTTCAAAATGAAAATGCTTTTTTCTTCTAATTCTCAAAGTATCATAGACCGAATGGCAAAAAGTCCAAACAATTAAACAAACTACAGAGAATTGTAAGGGAAAATGTAGTAAGCTTCCAGGCATAAACATTATTAATGTTTTGGCATATAGTTCAGTTTTTCCTTGGAAATGCATATTTTTAAGGGTTTTGATACATACTGCCAAATACCCTTGCAGAGTCATACCACCCCATATTCCCATGAACAGCATGTGAGTATCCACTTCCTTATATCCCTAGTACTAGATTATGCCACTATTAAATTGCTAGACAAAGGGTCCCATTTTAATTTGTACTCCTGTGATTACTAGTGAGTTTGAACTTTTTAAATTAGTTCTCTGATGAATTTTCTATTTATGTCCCTTGCTTGATATTTTTGTTGTGTTCACCTCTCCCTTGGCATGTAAATGGCCTTTTTTCTAAGTAACAAAATTAATCGTTAGTTCTATCCATAACAAATACCTCTTTTCAGATTGTAATTTTTCTTTTAATTTTAGCTATGATTTGAAACTTTTATATAGTCAAACCTGTGAGACTTTGTCTTATGGTTTCTAATTTGGGGGGTAGGCTTAGAAAAGTCTTCCCTTCTTCAACATTATATAAATATCATATGCATTTCTTTAAATTTTCTGATTTTTTGAAATATTTAATCATGGAGTTTATTTTAGAAAGCTGCATGATATAAGAATCTGTTATTTTTTTTTCCCAAAGAGTAAACCAATTTTGCTGGTCCCATTTTTTGGAATAATCATCCTTATACCATCTATACTCAATAAAAACACATATTTGGGTCATTCTTAGGGTTTTCTCATTGGTTTCATTATCTGTTTTTTTTTTTCTTTTAAAGAGACAAGGTCTCACTCTGTCACCCAGGCTTGTGTGCAGTGACATGGTCATAGCTCACTGTAACCTCAAACTCCTAGGCTCAAGCGATCCTCCCACCACAGCCTCCTGAGCAGCTGGAGCTGCAGGAGTACACCACCGTACCCAACAAGAATGTATGTCTTTGCCTGCCCCCCAACACTTTGCCCCCTCCCCTTCAAAAAAGAAAAAAAGAAGAATTTATGTTTTTAAAATGTGGACTCTTCATGGGAGCATGTTATATCTCTTCATTTATACAACTGTTTTATATCCTTCAATAAAATCTTGTAGTTCCCTTCATATAAATTCTTTACCTTTCATTTTAATTTTATTTTTAAGTATTTTCCACCAATTTTTCTTCAGATTTTCATACATTTTTCCCAGTTCCTTACTCTCTTGGTCATGTTTTGGCTGACCCCTCATCCTCTAGCCTCCATCAATGTCAGGGTTTCTCAAGGTCTTGTCCTTGGGCCTCATCTCACATCATGCCTTCTTCCTGAGTGATCCTTCCTGCAGCCTGGCCCTGGGAAACTGCCCTCTGGCTGCCCATGCCTCACCCCACTGTGCCATACACGTGCCATTCTCTCTGCCTGTCACACACTTCGCCCCTTTGCACCTGTTGGTCTGTTGTACACATAATAAATCAGATAAATGAAGACTGTCACAGAGCATGGCTTTTTAGAGGGCAGAGATTTACACTTGCTTATTATCACCCATCTGTGTAACCCTCTCAGCCTGGTCTTTGTTACTTTCTAGGGGCTTAGAGGAAACAACTGAGTGGGGCTATGGATAAACAGAGCCAAGCCACGTGGAATGGTGGGAAAAGAACACACATAGCATTTAGAATCTGATCTGGGTTCACATTCTGGCTTTGCCACTTACAGGACATGTGACCTTTGGCAGGTTAACTGATGCCGTAAGCTTCCTTTCCTCTTTGGAAATGGGGCTGATAATATTTTATGCAATAGGGTTGTGGTAGGAATTATCTCAAGAGAATGCATTTAAACTCTTAGCACAGTCCCTAGCATAAATGAGAGCCACAGCTGTAAAAGAACTGCAAATCCTTGGCCTGCTCTTGGCAACTGTCCTGTTTGACAGGGAGATGACTTTCCCAGGGACATTGGGAAGGGTTTCCTGAAAAGAGACAGTTCTGTTGGCAGAGAGATTCAGTGGGGGCACACCAGGCAACAGGGAGTGAATGTGGGTTTTCTCTGTCATTGTTTAGAAAGGGAGGTAGCTTGTGTCACCTACAGTGAAGCCTGTTTTGTCTGTTCCCTTTATTTCAGGTTCCAGTGGGATGGGAGCTTATCACGGAAAACATAGTTTCGATACTTTTTCTCATCAACGTCCCTGTTTATTAAAAAGTTTAAAGAGAGAAGGTGCTAACAAACTCAGATATCCTCCCAACAGCCAGGCAAAGGTAGATTGGGGAAAATTCTTCATGTTGAAACAGTTCAACAAAGGGAAACTTGGTCTCCTGTTGCTCGCTTTCCTGGGTGTTGTAGCAGCTGTGCTTGTCAAGGTAAGTCCTCATGCCTCATGAAGTGCCAGTGTTTCTGGTCCTGCCCCCGTGGCTGCCAGATGCATATTCTAAGGAGACTACTGTATGTTAACTTCTAGAGTCTAACTTTTAGGGTTGGCAAACTGCAGCCTGCATGCCAGCTCCTACCTGTTTTTGTCAGTAAAGCTATTGGAATGCAGCCACACCCACTTGTTTAGTTATCATCCACAGCTGCTTCCATGCTATGGCAACAGAGTTGAGTAGGTGGAACAGAAGCTGAATGGCCCCCAAAGCTTCTAAATTATTACAGAAAAAGTTTTCTGACATCTGGTCTAAGAGTTTAAAACACTGTAGAACTTGCTTGCAGAATTCGAAGCTGTCTAACCCTCTGATCCTTTTGGTATTGGTCTTTCCTTTTCAGTTTTGTTCTTGAACAAGCATGAAATCAGCATGCTATGGAGATGCAGGAGGGAACTCTGTGGTGGGCAGTAGTGGTGGTGGAACAACTTTGGTGAGGGATATTTTATTAGGCTTGATTGTTTTTCCTCCAGGGTTGACTATCAAATCAAGTCTATCTCTGGTGATTAGTTATTATAAAGATGGGCTTTCAAAGAGGCCCTCATGATAACTGCCTTCTCAAGGCAGTTTGTGTATCTTTGGGGTGAAGGAGGAATTCTACAATAATGAAAGTTAAGATGAAATGAGGAAAGGCGATTGTTTGTGGAGCTGTCAGCCAGCCAATGGAGGAGACTCATTGAAAATATTGACAACATCAGTGGAGAATGGACTTGGAAGAGAGGCATTTCATGGAAATCCCTGTGTTTATGTCTACATTTTATTTAAAATTTGAAAGAGGGTTGGCTTGTCTTACAGTATCACAGCTTTGGTGGAATTGGAGATACCAGTTGCATTTGAAATCATTTGGGTTTTCTCAGAAATACCAAGCTGTGCTGAGGAGAAAGACCCTGTTGATTTTTCTGGTAGTTCACAGACTGCGTTGGTCCAGTAAGCAGTGATGAAAAGCAGATTTCAAAACCCGGATCTGTCTGTTAAGAGTGAGGTAGGAACTCCTTGTTTTCTTTCTTTATGTAAGGTGGGCCAAGTTAGGGTATGTTTTCTTTTGTTTTTTTTTACCTACAGTTGGAGGCTAAGGGGTTATTGAAAAAAGAATGTTTTACTTGTCTCTAGACATTTTGGACCTTGGCCCAGAGTATCAGAGTGTTAAAAACTGAGCTTATCCACAATTTTTAAAGAGTGAGGGTAAGGCCAGGCACTGTGGCTACTGCCTGTAATCAATCCTAGCTCTGTGGGAGGCCGAGGCAGGAAGATGGCTAGAGGTCAGGAGTTCGAGACAAGAGTGAGGGTGAGTCTCTAGGAATATAAGAGAAATGTGTAGCATTAATGGCTTAACTAGGTCTAGGTGAAGCAAACATTATTTCTAGAAAAAGAGCAGCCACATGTGAGTCTCATTCCTCTTCCCCATCCACTCAGCTCTTCTGGATGAAATGACAGCTGACTAATTCAGACTTAGAGTCACCATTTAGACACTGAACTCTTTGCCTCATATTTGAGAATAATCTTCTAAAAATCTCTGAGTTGTTTTGTTTTGTCTTTTTTTAAAAAAAAAAACTTGACTTTGGAATTCATGGTAGCAAATGTAGTGAATCAAGGCATAGTGTACAATTTAGGGGCTTTCTGCTCGCTCTTCTTCATCTTCCTGAGGCTGGAGATACAGTCAGAGGCTTGTTTGGGTCTCTGGTTATTATCTTCCTTTCTTGCTCTTTTCCCAAGATGTTGGTCCCCAGCCTGATAGGCATCTTCCTGGTTAGGATGGAATTTCTCAGACTCATGGAAAATATAGAGGACGAGGCTGAGTCTGCACTCCCCAGGCTTGCCGTGTCCCCAAGAAGGCTCCCCCAGGTGCAGTGCACTATACAAGCAGGCTTGAGTTCCCAAAAGAGTTTGGCAGGCAGATCTTTCTCTGTTAGTGTCTAGAGAAGCAGAAATATATATTATAAAAACCTTTAGCTGGGAACAAGAAAATGTCTTTGATTCCTGGTTCCAGTGTTGACTTAATTATGACTTTGGGGTGAGGCCTTTTTAAATGAGCCCTTACTTGGGCCTCAGCTTGTTCGTGTACAGACTAGGGGAGGAGGCATCCATTATTTCCCAGGCCACTTTCAACTCTCCCTCTCAATTCTGATTACTATTGTTAATATTTTTTTGGATTCATTCTGGACTAGGTAGAGATTTGGGTTTTTTGCTTCTTTGCTGCTTCTTGGCTCTTCTCTCTGAGCTTTTAATCCTCTTTTCTTTATCAAATCTCTTTATTTTAAATAAATGACTTTAAATTTGTATTGTATACTTGAGGAATCTTTATTATAATTACAAACATTTTTCTGAAATGGCTTTTTTGCACTGAATAGTTTACTTATTTTGTTATAAACTTGGACTTGGTTTCATTAATTACCCTACTAGAATTAGAATGGTTTTGGACCATAAGTACTATACACAAAGTAAAGTTTTAATAAAGCTTAGAAGCTACAGAAAGCATCATGGGGAAGCGGGTATGGATTTGAAAAGATTAAAGTTGATAAATGTCATTAGGCCTTTGAAAATTAAATGTGACATTTGAACCTTGCAGTTGCAGCAGCCCCTCCTCAGCTTTAATAGGATGCATTAAATTCAGTACTAATTTCGAATTTTGGAAACAAAATTGTTTATCAGTTTTCAAATTTCATGTAGAGACTTTAGCTTCCTACTTACAATGCTAGCATAATAAATGAATATTTTCAAGTCTTGTCTCCACTGGGATATTATCTCATTGATATTGGACAGAATACAGCCTCTATCACCACCTGTCTCGTTGTTTTTTGAGGAAGGGCATAATCCTTTATCTTCAGCCCAAACCACACTCAACACTTCTTAGAGTTACATAGGCCTTTTTTGTACAAGGCATTTAGAGTCTCTTAAGGTAGGCGGTATTTGTTAGAGTCCCAGTAATGAGCTCGTGTTGCAAGGCTGTGGGTGGGTTTTTAAACCAGCAGAGTAAACTGGATCCCTTTTTCCTCTCTCCAGGCTGGATACTACTGAAGAATGATCCTGTTCAACCTCCTAGTTGCCTCTACTGAATTATTCCTCTTTTAAATGGTTAATGAACCAATAATTTTTAAATCCTACCAAAAATAGTAAGAAAATGTGCAATGTACTGTGATCAAACCTAAAAGTCATTGCCACTCACCAGTAATAAAACTTGCCATCTTATCCAAATCCCAGCATTCCCCAATAGTGAGGATTTTCAGAGAACCTATCCTAGACTGTGCTTACTCAAATCTTAGAGCTTTGGGCTAGGGAAGGAGAATGTGTTAAGCTAAGTCCAAACTCCTTGGGGATGTAAGGGTATCTGAGACCTGCTCAGTGACTCCTTCCGTCCAGTTCATGGGACTTTCCACCCCCTCCCCTACCCCTGCTCCCACCATCATTGTGCAAAGCTTTCAACAACTCAACACTTCCTAGGGCTACTAGCAATCCTCTGTAGTCTAGAGAGGTGAGGTTAGATTTTCCCAGCTCCCTGTTAGGTTTAAGGCACTAAAACTAAACTGTATCGGGAGGGAGGGGTTGTTCCTCCTCCATATGAATATGGGGGAGGGGTTGTTCCTCCTCCATATGAATATGGAGGAGGAGCAGCCCCCTCAAATTTTATCCAACTATGAATCCATTTTTTGCCTATTTTGTCTTCTGTTGCAGAGTCTCACTCTGTTGCCCAAGCTCGAGTGCAGTGGCACCATCACAGCTCACTGTAACCCTGAAATCCTAGGCTCAGGCGATCTTCCTGCCTCAGCCTCCCAAGTAGCAGGGACTACAGGGGTACACCACCATGTCTGGCTAATTTTTTTTTTCTTTTAAATTTTTTGTGGAAATGGGGTCTCAGAGTCCTGGCCTGAAGTAATCCTCCTGCATAGGCCTCCCAAAATGCTGAGCAAGAGCCACTGCACCTGGCTCAATATGGAGTGACTAATATCACTCAAAATATCTTATAAATCCTAGGGCTTCCTGGAAGATCATTGCCAATTTCACTCTTCTGGTGTTGAAGTTAACAGAATTCCTCATGTTATAAAACCTAACTAGCATTTAAAAAAATACTGTAATCAAAATACGTATCCTCTTTTAGGACCCGAAAGTTGCAAGTTAGTGGATCTCCAAGAACAAATCTTTAAGTTTCTTATTTCTCTAGCACAATGCAAGTAAATTTCACTTTTTTTAACTTCAGAGAGATCCCTTTCTGAGTAAATTTAACTTACATAACTTAAAGTGGGGGGAACCATTCTTCTCTCCAAAAAAGAGGCCTTGGATGTTAGGACTACGGGGCTTGAGAGACTCACTGGGCAGATAGATGGTGGATCGTTTGGAGAATAACTCTGTAAGCCATTGCAATTGACCATACTGAAGGAGATGAAGGATAGTAAGAGGATCTCTAGAGCAAGTGAGAAATTATTCTCATTACTGCCTTATTATGGCCAAGACCTAAGGTACTTCAGCCAAGTGCGAAAGTGCTAAAGAGGCCTTTGTGGAACGCAGCATTACCTGCCAGACAGGGCAGTGTTGCACCGTGGCTGTGCCTCAGAGCTCCCAGCTGCAGGACTCCACCTCCTTCCTCTTGGATTTGAAAAGAGATTCAGCCCATTTAATGAGAGAATATAATTCACTTTATAGAATGTATAATTTGTTGAATAAATTGTTTCATTTTAAGGCTGTCATACTAAGGTAAGAGAAGTATGTCTTTATTACTGTATGAGGTGTCAAGAATTAATGACTAACCTAGTTCAGAAAAAGTTGCTTAAACTATGGCCGTATCAGAATAATCATAAAATATCTTAGACAAAATTTCAATATGGAATTTTCATTTAGTATATTGTACATTATGTTTCTAAAGTAAATTAATGGCTTGTCTACTAATACATTTTACTTTGAAATAAAGACATTATATTTCATAAAACTGGAATGAATTTTAATAACATTCTTAGTGTTTTTCAAACATGCCCTATTGGAGATAGTCCTTTGATCATAAATTTTATCCAACTGTGAATCCATTTTTTGCTTTCTTTTTCCTTCTGTTAAAGACAAAGTGTCACTCTGTTGCCCAGGCTGGAGTGCAGTGGCACCATCACAGCTCACTGTAACCCCGAACTCCTGGACTCAAGCGATCCTTCTGCCTCAGCTTCCTGAGTAGCTGGGACTACAGGTGTGCACCACCATGTCTGGCTAATTTTTTTCTTTTTAATTTTTTGTGGAAATGGGATCTCAAACTCCTGGCCTCAAGCAGTCCTCCCACCTTGGCCCCCCAAAATGCTGAGCATGAGCCACCGCACCTGACCCATTTTTGCCTTTATCTATCAAAGGTGTTATTTGTCAACTTAATTTGTCATACTTTCTTATTTTAAATTCTTAGCCAAGATGATTTTCTCACATTATGTTCTGTTGTGTGTGTATTATTAGCTATAGTAAATGGGATTTTTTCCAATAGCATTCTCCTACCCCCAGTTGCTGATCTATTTTTTGTTTTGTTTTTTGAGACAGAGTCCCAATCTGTTGCCCTGAGTTGAATGCCGTGGCATCAGTCTAGCTCACAGCAACCTCAAACTCCTGGGCTTAAGTTATCCACCTTTCTCAGCCTCCTGAGTAGCTGGGGCTACAGGCATGTGCCACCACACCCAGCTAATTTTTCTATTTTTAGTAGAGACGGGGTTTCGCTCTTGCTCAGGCTGGTCTCGAACTCCCGACCTCAAGTGATTCTCCTGCCTCGGCCTCCCAGAATGCTAGGATTACAGGCATGAGCCATGCGCCTGGCTCCCAGTTGCTGATCTATTTTTTTTTTTTTTATAAGTATGAAACCTTTATTCCTAATGCAGATACAGATACAAATGCATGTATTCTCTCAGAGAAAGCAGCTAGACTTTGCCCAATTTACAGTATAGCACAACTTTGGGAAAGAAAGCAGTGGGTACAGTTTGTA